CCTACCACAACAATTATGAAATGAACAAAGTCCGACAATTATTTTAAGACATTTTTTTAATGTTTATACGTTCTTTTTATAGATACAAATATTTAAGTAAATGCTCTATTTATAATAAACAGTATTAACGACATTTATCGGCCTGAATGTCCGAGAAATTTTCATAGAAAATATGCGTCCTCCGACAGGAATCGAACCTTTATCCTATACAAAACCGTCATATAGCCTGAAAAAAATAGAAAGAAATATATTTTGCTGTGTTTTTTTTTTATGTTTTATACAGGAAATCCATGTTACTGTTTCTCCATAATGTTTAATTACAGAAACCTTATTTTGCTGTATTTTTTTATATTTGGTACAGGAAATCTCTGTTGCTATATTTTCGTAATGTTTGTACAGGAAACCTATTTCGTTATATTTTCTCAAAAGTTTGTACAGAAAACCTATTTTACTGCATTTTCCATCAGGTTTGTAGAGGAAACCTATTTTGCTGCATTTTCCATCGGGTTTGTAGAGGAAACCTATTTTGCTGCATTTTCCATCGGGTTTGTAGAGAAAACCTATTTTGCTGCATTTTCCATCGGGTTTGTATAGAAAACCTATTTTGCTGCATTTTCCATCGGGTTTGTAGAGGAAACCTATTTTGCTGCATTTTCCATCGGGTTTGTAGAGGAAACCTATTTTGCTACATTTTCCATCGGGTTTGTATAGAAAACCTATTTTGCTGCATTTTCCATCGGGTTTGTAGAGGAAACCTATTTTGCTGCATTTTCCATCGGGTTTGTAGAGAAAACCTATTTTGCTGTTTTTTTCATAAGTCTTGTCAAGGACCTTCTATATTTAACTAATTTCAGAATTAATAAAATGACGAGTATAACCGCAAAGATTTCTTTAACATTTTGCTAAAAACTGATGCTAGGAATTTTGCATCTACTCTAATATTGCTAGCGTAGATTAAAGGTATTTCTCCTCACCTATCATTCAAATGACCATTTCCTCGTCTCGAAACCCTGATTGGAGAGAACAAAGCGGAAGTAAAGATGATTATCCTTCATAGAGCGAGTGGCATTCGCTATATTGACCTGTCAGTTACCAGGAAATGCTTATCGATCAAAAAGTAACTCAAATGAAAACAAATGAAACTTAGTGTTTTTTTATTAAGCAGTTCACGTTGAATAACGTCACACTTTGCTTCATGAAATTCTTTTACTTATATTTCTTTATTTTTTGCAGCCGTTGAATTGTGGGTAATTATAATCATTTCAAAAAATTACAGCGATACTTGACAGCAGAATGAACTTTATTTCTTCCGACTACTCATTATTGTTATTATTATTATTATTATTAATACTATTATTATTATTATTATTTGTGTATGTTATGTTTCCTGCTTTAAATCCTGTAGAGCCAGGTCCAAACTATGGTCCTTAGTCCCTATATGAGAATTGTCATTTAATTGATAGCACTTTTCTTAGTATATGGTATGTTCCTAGTAGGGCGATTTTCTGAGCAGCTTGTATGTTGATGTCACCTGGGACACTGTTAGTAAAATTGTCCATTCCTTTTCTTATGAGGCCCAGAGCTCCGATTATTATTATTATTATTATTATTATTATTATTATTATATGTACATGTTATGTTTTCTGCTTTGTATCCTGTAGAACCGAGTCCAAACTATGGTCCTTAGGCCCTATAGGAGAATTATCATTTAATTGAAAGCACTTTTCTTAGTATATGGGATGTTCCTAGTAGGGTCATCTTCTGGGCAACTTGTATGTTGATGTCACCTGGGACACTGTCAGTAAAATTGTCCATTCTTTTTCTCATGAGGCCCAGAGCACTGATTACTATTGCTGCAGTCTCAGTCTTCATTCCCCACATCTTGTTAATATCGATCTCCAGGTACTTGTATTTGGACAATTTTCAATCATTTTCATGGAAGTGTTTCTTTGAGATGTTACTGTTATGTCAATAAGTACACACTTCCTGAATTTCTTGTCTTTTATGATAATATTAGGTCTGTTGGCTTTTATTTCCTTATCAGTTTGAATTGGTATGTCCCAGAGGATAGTTATATCGTTATTTTGGGTGTGTCTGGTTGATGCTCAAACCATCTCTCAGTGGTTTCGATATTGTGCTTCTTGCATATCTTCCAGTGCACATATGTCGCTACCTTGTTATGTCCGTGGGTAGGTTCATTTTTTTGTCAGTTCCGAACGTCCTGAGATGGTCGACAGTTTCATCATATTTCATTATTATTATTATTATTATTATTATTATTATTATTATTATGGTATTATCTTGCCAGAGAGTAATTTTAAGTACCTAATTAACAAGTCCCTTTCCGTGTTCTATGAATGAAACGGGCACTGTATGCAAGTCATCTATGTACATTTAGGACTTTTCTCTTACATGGAGAGGGTTTGCAGATGATATGTGCAGTTTGGCAAAAACCCTTGATATACCCTTCGATACCCCTTCTTCCTCAATGTCCCTGTCACCATAGAGATAATTGTATTTATAAATTTCCCCATTTTTCTTACATCGATTTACTGGTCCCTATTTACATTATTCGGACTATTGTCCTCATCTTTGTCGGCATTTTTATCACAACGTTTCGGCCGTTGTACGCTACGGCCTTCTTCAGGTGGTTGGAATGTCGAACTGAAACCATTATTTCGCTCACTGAAGTAGACTGTTCTAGTTCCACGTGCCATGTCTAATGGATGTGAGTTATCTCCTGTTAATTCCCCTCTCAAAGTTCTCCGCCGCCTTAACCAGGTATTGAAATCACACTCTTTGGGTCCTGTCACTGGCTCTAACCAACGCCTTTATCCACTGTTGAGGACATCTGTGTATGAATTTCTGGGTATTATAAACCTAATGTCTTCAGTAACCATTTTTACCAGTCCTCCTATTGCAATTTTTGCTGTTATCATCTCATTTTTTTTTTTTTTTTACCAGAGTTCATATTGCAATTTTTTTATTGCTTTTCTCTGACACTCCTTATTACTGGTTCCCATATTGTATTCATTTCTATACTTGGTCGGCTCAGGAGATTTTTGTGTCCTAGCATATGTGCTGATTCCTTAAGCTTACGAATTTTCCAGTTATGTTCTTTGTCTATGATCTCAACTTGATCCCACAGAGGGCGGTAATCTCCCTTTTCTCTCCATATGCCTGGTCTATCTGCATCAATTTTCCTGTCTGCGAGGATCAGGAAATACCACAATATTGTCAGTCTATCCCCATTTGTGACATCCGGGACTTCAGTACCATAATTCGACCTGATATCCAATGAATATATTGTCCTAGCCTGTCATGTATATTAATGTATTCTTTCTCAGCAAGGACTCGGCACCCTGATACTACGCGGCCAAAGGTTTCATCAAATTTATGGCATAAGTGACAGGCGGTATTTGAGCCATCCTTGTTGATTTTAGCCTTGTCGCCTTTAGTTAGAAGACATTAGATTTGTGCTGTCATAAGAGCTTCTGTCTCCCATTTAAGACCACTTCTTCTATGTCATTGATAGATTTGGCGAACATCGATGTCTGGTTCATTCAAATGTTTGGGGTACTTTCTATGCAGGGGTATAGATCTCCATTTTGGTTCGAAAGTCTTCATATAAACACCTTTCGCCAATAACTTAACTTTCTTTGTCGCAGCTGTGGCTGGTTCAGAATATTTGTCATCTTGAGTATCTGTTACATCTAAGGAGTTTCGTTTATTGTTATTATTGTTGTTGTTGTTGTTGTTGTTGTTGTTGTTGTTGTTGTTCATTTGCAGATGTTTGGTGGACATCGCTGAAGACTGAATGACAATAGAACTCTTCAACTATTCAGGACATTTCTCAGTTTCCTCACAGACCCCAAACCCTCTCTCGTCTAATTACGATTTTTGTGTTTTTGGAACGTGTTTTTCATTCACATAGAGAGATTCTTAACCATCATGTCTTATCATTTCTTCTGCATCCGAACAAGTTCGTGGTATTTTCCAATTTCTCAGTCTCCTCCATATATACAAATGTGGACCGATGAGACAACCTCGTCAACGATCTAATTGCACAAAGGTCTAGAATATTTTTAGAGTTTTATTTCATTCTTCCACTACAGTCTGTATTTTCTGGTTTTATCAATGGTCTTCATTGCCATTTGCATAGTTCCCGGTGTATAACATTCCTACCTATCAGGTGTTCCTTTGTCATCCTTCTGAACAGTTTGCCAGATACACTGATTATGGACTTTCCTGGTTCACCATTTTCTCCTGTATTTTATCTGGGTCTTCACAATGTTGGTGTAGTTTGTTCTGATACGTGTTTTCTGGATTTCACTGATGAAAGAATTATTTTCTCTCTTTCGATATCCTCTTTTAACAATGTATATGATTATCCATAATATTTTCTACTCGGATTTTAAATTTCCCGTGGAGTGTTTCGTTTCGTTTTGTTTGCCACTTTCTATTTTTGTTGCACCTTTTCACGTTTAATAATTTCACCGCGCTGTTTGTTCAATTCTATTCGAAATCACTTGGACAGCCTTCGATGTTATGAATTCTCTACGGCCTTCTTTCCTTCTCACGTATAATCTGTGTGTAACGTCTTTGATGTGTCTAGACTTGCACAGAGTCAAGTTTCCTAACCCTGTCACTCCATTGATTTAAGATTTTCTTTTGTCCAGCCGAGGAATGGTCGTGTCTACCCCACTACTGACATTGCCCAGATATTTATTTGTTCCATCAACTTCCTGCTATTTAGGTTGCTATCTCGGATTTTTCTTATCTTTCGAAGATATTCAATCCTTATTTTTCTCTCCCATTAGCTTCTGCTTTATTGAGTCACGTCCGAATGCTCCAAGGTGTTTATAGCTGTCCTGTGCGATTAATGACTTCATTGTCTTGTTATTCAGTATGTCAAACCCATCTGTTCTTCGCCTGCATGAATCAGAACATAGATAGATAGATAGATAGATAGATAGATAGATAGATAGAAACCAATCATCCTGTTACCTGAAACAATAATAAATATATTCTTGTCGTATTTTTATCCACGATGTTCGACTGCTCATCTCTCTACAAATATAAAAGGTCCTCCACCAAAAATACACATTATCAATATTTGAATCAAGGTAAACTTCTTAAGTTATTATACCCTATCCATTTGGGATATATATATATATATATATATATATATATATATATATATATATATATATATATATATATGTATATGTGTGTGTGTGTGTGAAAATGAGAACAAATGGAGTATAATTTCATTGTCCCTAACATTTAATTTAAAAAAGGATTCAATTCAGAGTAGACCTAAATATTATTTATTTTAGGATATTAAAGAAAAATATGTTAAAAATCGCTACACAATTACAATTATGTTTCAATACTACAAATATGTCTCCTCGGGCGATGGTAAACTACTCTTAACATGAGACAATTATATGTATAGCTACCGGTAAAAACGAATTATGAAGAAAAGAAACCACAACTGTCAGTTACGCATCTTTATCTCTTCATAATTCAATCTTACTGATATTGCACCTGTTCCTGAGCTCTAATGTTAGATCATTTTCTTGTTACCGTAAATAAAATTACTGTGTTATTATTTAGTGATATTATCATATATATATATATATATATATATATATATATATATATATATGCACTTATTATATAAACAATGTCACAAAAACTGGTATCATTTTGTGTTGCGATAACATTCAATTCTCAAATGTGTAAAAACTCAGGCTGATCGAACGTACCAGCGATACAATGTGCTTTTGAAGTGATTGCTACATTCACCTGAGTTGGCCCCTTGTGATCCTTTTCTATAGGGTTATGTGAAAGGACAGACCTATATCCGTCCCCCGTTTCCTAAACGCCTAGTGAAATTTAGCAGAGAATCACTAAAAAGTTGGGGAATGTTACGCAAGGCATGCTACAGCGTGTTTGCCAGATGCTGGACTATCGACCGACGTGACGTGTGTCCTGTCACCGGTGGTGAGCATATTGAACATGTGTGAAGCTTTGTGACATCGGTTATAATATCTAGAAACCTTTGAATATGTTGTTCGAAATTTGATAAATAAATCTTTTACTGTTCAACATGAAGCCTATTTAATTTCATGATATGTACTTACTCAGATATTCACACTTTAAATTATGAGTTTTGGGGATCACCCTATATATCCACACGTATCATACATACATCTATCTATCTATCTATTTATCTATCTCAATAAATGTATATATAGTGTGTGCGTGTGTGTACAGATTTTTTTTTTTTTTTTTTTTTAAGCATTGTGCCCCAAGCAAGGCGTGAAGCCACTAGGATGCAGGGGGTTGCGGAAGATTTGGAGCGAGAGCAGATAAGAGTGATAGGAGAAAGGAAGAGGAGAAGGATAGTGGGTAGATCAAGGTAATTGGAGATGTCGATTGACATTACATTTAAATAGTTGGAGATTATAGCTTTCAGGAAACAGTGATTGGGGGAGGGTGTTCCACTGGCGAGAGGTACGAGGTATGAAGCTATTGGAGTAGAAGAGACGGCTACATTTGAAGGTTTCTACGGTGTAAGGGTGAGAGCGGGATGCCAGCCTTGTAGGGCGCTTGAATTCATGGAGTCTGGGAACCAGAGAGAGCAGCTCATCAGAGCAGTTACCATGGAAGTATTTGTAGAAAAAGACAGAGAGGCGACGGCACGTCTGTGAGAGAGTGACTGCAAACAAGACGCTAGATCAGGGCCAATTAGATTACATATCCTTCTCTGGATCTTGTCAAGAACTCCGAGGTAAGCAGAAGGTGATCCAGCCCATATATGGCAGCAATACTCCATGCAAGGGCGAATGGTTGTTTTGTATATTTGAAGTATCGATTCAGGGGAGAAAAATTTCCTGGTGCGGCACAGAGAGCCAACTTTCCTCGCGGTGGAAGAAGCAATTGACTCAATGTATTTGTTCCATCTCAGGTCAGCAGTCAGCGTGAGACCAAGCAGACGCAGGGAGTTGCTCTCAGGAAGTTGACTATCAGACATTTTAATGGGGGGCAGGGAAGGATCTCTATGGTGGTTAATGGAGAGTAATTTAGTTTTTGTGGCGTTAAAGTTGACCAGCCAATTCTTGCCCCAGTTAACAACCGATTGGAGGTCCATTTCAAGACGCATGGCAAGGTTAGTTTTGTCGCCGACACTAGACTTGTTTTTGAGGCAGGAGTAAATTGTAGTGTCGTCTGCATAGATGCCGACTTGGGAATCTATAGCTTCAGGAAGGTCATTGATGAAAATAAGGAAAAAGAGGGGGCCAAGGATGGAGCCTTTGGGGCACACCTGCGTTAGTGGGATAGGAACTGGAGGAGAATCCGTTGAGAACGACCTTCAATACTCGGTTAGACAGGAATGATTGTATTAGATCAAACAGTTGACCAGTAACACCCTAACCCTGGAGCTTACGAAATTACTAATATTACTAATATTACTAATATTACTAATATTTAAGCATCAATTCTTCGTTTATACAAGTTCTATTAATTAGCAAAGCCCGAATTACTGCTTTTAAACGCATACCTTCGCCGATTTTTCTCGATTTATCACATCTGCTGTAATTCGAGTTTTGCTAATCGGAAGTTCACTGTTCCGTATAGGATACAGGTTCAATTCCTATCGGAGAAAACATATTTTCTACAAAATATCTTGAACATTCAGACCGCTAAATGTAATTAATACTGTTTAATTAAAAAACAAATCATTTACTCAAATAAGTGTATCTGTATAAATAGAAAATATATTCAAATACTTGACGGATTTAATCCATTTGCTATATATATATATATATATATATATATATATATATATATATATATATATATATATATATATATATTGCACATGTAGATAACACATGTTTAGTGCCCTGTTGGTAGGTAAATTGTCTTTATTAAGACTTGAATGCACACACTGGGCGATGTAAATTTATGCTTAAAATTAAAAAAACGTGTCTACTCACATACGTCCATCCACCAAATAAAATGTGTCATGTAATAAGGAATAATTTCAGATTATCAAACTGAAGAAACCAAAGAGAACATACATCTTCTCAGGCGAAACGCGTCTTTGATAAAAAGAATTCCACTTTGTTTCATAATCTTCAAATGTGTAATGCGTGAAATTTCCGATAGAATAAATCTGTAAAAGGACAATATAAACAAAGACGCGTTTCCTCCTTTGATTAACCTTGCCAAGGCAAATGCAAGGATTTTATTTTGTAACAAGTATTTATAGACAATAGCAAAAATTTTGTTAGTCTTTCAAGATAGGATAAGTTTTCCTTTTGTCTTCGTTCATATATAATTATATATAATTTATATATATATTTATATATATATATATATATATATATATATATATATATATATATATATATATATTATATATATATATATATATATATATATATATAAAAAGAAAAAGAACAGTAAGATATATAATCCGGTGTTCCTACTGATATTTTTTTTATTTTTAGAAAACAGTGCTCAATGTAAATTTACCGAGCATAAATATCATAAATGAACTGATTTAAAATATGGCTTCTTCGCTACACAGTAATAACCATGTTTCAAAAAATGAAGCTAAAAACTTCAAATTTAATTAAAATTTTTAATTTTAAGCATAACAGAACTAATGCTTTTAATTTAATTAAATTTGAAGTTTTTAGCTTCAGTTTTTGAAACATGGTTATTACAGTGTATCGAAGAAACCATATTTTAAATCAGTTCATTTATAATATATAATTTATATATATATTTAGTTGATATCAGATTTTATGTAAGTTTACATAATTTTAAAACATTTCGAATAAGATGATATCTTTGTTATTATATTTCTTTCACAGTCTTGGTAACTCCTCTCCCCCCCCCTCTCTCTCTCTCTTCTTTCTTTCTTTCTTTCTCTGTGTTTTCCGCCTTTCAATCTATTTTCAATCTATTCTTCTCTACCGTTCTCTTTTCTTTCTTTCTTTCTTTTTTTCACATGTGCTTATTTGTACCCTCCCATTTTTATCTACCTGTTTATCTACCTTATCATTTCATGGCATCCTGGCTATTTGCCTGGCTTTGTTTCCCGGCTATATAATATCAAGCAACTCAGTTCGACATTTTTTAAGTGCAGTATCTCATTTTTCTGTTACTTGGGAAAGTATTTAAACAAGGGATGTATTAAAGGAGCGGATTACTTTTGTCGTCAACAGTAAAAAAAAATGTTTATATTTGCTTTGTAGATCTGTTTATGTTAAGATATAAGATGTCATTTCCTAAATTTACCTTATTCCATCTCATATGGGAAATTGATGTAAAAATAGTGTACTGCACTGATCTTGCAAGTAAAAAAAATGAACGCGTGATTTTGAATTCTTTGCTTTTTACATGGCCTCGAGAAACAGCCATCGAATATATGTCATAACTAATTACTAAGCTTTGTTGAGTACTACATATGGTCAAATATAGTGAATGTGGAGAGGAAGAATTGGTTTATGCCTTGAAAATCAGTATCTGAAATCCTGATTTTACTTGAGATCGAACGCTAACCGACGTTAGCAAATGCATAGCTATCTTAACCCCAAAGCATTATGATTCCTTCAACTGTCTTTATTATTACTATTATTATTATTATTATTATTAATCAATTCACCCCAAGCAAGGCGATAATGCCACTATGATGCAAAAGGCTACGGGAGTAAAAGAGAACGAAAAAAGTTTACAAAGAACCAGAAACCCAATCCTAAACAGGAAACGAAGGATAAACTTTGACTTCTTAAGAATGTGAACTCGAATTGGAGAACAGCATAACAATAACAATAATAATAATAATAATAATAATAATAATAATAATAATAATAAATGCCCTGATGCTACACCAATTTAAAACTTCTGCACAAATTAGCAATTCACATCAGGTGTAAAAGAATTTGTTGTTTCTTGATGTCTGGGGGTTAGCCCGTTC